TGCTTGAAGCTCAAGAAAGTAAATGACAGACTTTCGAATACCGTCAAGAATTCATATGAATTTTCTCAAAAGATCCAGAACATTGGGTTAGTGGGTTAAAAACTGTTGGTGAGCTTCGATGTACAATCCATGTACACAAACATCTCAGGTAAGTAGGTGATAAGCGCCTTAATGGAGATAACGGAACGCGAAGAGGAGGCAGAACGGATATGAAAGGAGTCGTTAATACAACTAATCAACCTGACAGTTATGACAACATATTTCACATTTAACGGCATTATCTATGAGCAAATATTTGGACTACCGATGTGATCACCACTCTCACCTCTTTTGGCAAATGCATATATGGACAAGTTGGAAATGGAATTCGAGAAGTCGCCACTGCAACTAAGAGTGCTCATGCGATACTTGGATGACTACTTTGCCCTTTGGTCACATAGTAGGGAAAATTTAAGTGAATTCCTTAACTTCATCAACCAACTTGATAAAAGAATTATGTTTACAATAGAGGTGGAGGAAGATAAAATACAACCCTTTTTGGATATTGAAGTTATACGCTCCAAAGAGACACTCATGAGGAAACTTTACAGAAAGCATTAGTATGCAGGAATAATCCTTAATTTCCGCTCTCATCCTAACTACCGACTGAAGATCGGAATATTTAGGAGTTTGATCTTCAGAAGCTTACAATTAACAGATAAAGAGTTCTGGGACGAGGAGTTGGAAAAACTGACACGGATTTGTCTGAGTAATGGATAGCCCAGAGAGTGTATAAAGAAAAGTTTAGAGGGTATAAAGGGTAGATTTAAAATTGGATTTAATGAAAATCAGATCGGGAATGAGAATAACAACCAGAGTGGATTTGCTTGCCCTTATCAAAACTAAGACAACAATTGCGACCTTGATCAAGCAAATTAAATATCAAGGCGATAACAAAGGAGAAGAAAGCACTTTTTATCGAACTGCCAACGCAACACGAGAAGACGAATAAACTGAAGTGTTCGGGAGTTTATCGCATCAAATGCGGCAACTGTGAGCAGAAGTATATCGGTGAAACAGAGAGAAAAATAGGCTTACGAATCAAGGAACATCACAGACTCTGCAGGAACATGGATACACACATATCAGAAATAGCGGAACTCATTGCACGAACGGGGCACGAAATCGACTGATAGGTTGGCTGGATATAGTGAAAATAGGAGAAAACGTAAGATCCGATAGGACATTGATATACTGACTAAGAGAAATCTAATAAACAGGAGACTTAAAGAAGGCAAGATCAGCGAAAACTTTGCATATTGCCTAAACAAACTAGTAGAAGACCAGGCAACAGGAAGATCAGCATAAAGAAAACGTCTGGAACAAGGTAATATCCTTAATTTTAGGAAAAGGAATCGCAAGGAAGAATTATAAGCAAAGAGGATACGTCTTTAGTGCGCCTTATCAAAACAAGTAGAACCACGATATTTGTGTGTTGGCACACATAACACACACATAAGAAGTGATAGTCATGGTATTATAGATAGAAATAGGAAAAACGAGGTGGAGACTAAAGCTATTTGGCTAACAATGGACGTGTTTGATCATAAGCGTGGTCCTTGAATCACGACTATTGTTAGCCAACCTGTTCTTGCTTCTACTGTTTCTATCCTCTTTCTATATATAATACCAAGCCTATTACTTCATATGCCCTAGTCTCTTGCGTGCCAACCCACAAATGTTGTGGTTCGACATTGAACCAAATCAAAACAAGCTGTACCCAAACATTTGTGGGTTGGTGTACAAGAGACTAGAGCATGACAAATCATAGACTTGGTTTTAGGGATAAAAACAGGATAGAGACTGCGGGGACCGGAGCTAATTGGTTGACGGTAGGTCTGTTGTACCAGAGACGTGGAACATGTATCTAAGGGATGATTATGATACTCAGAGACTTGCACCTCTGATGCAAGGGAAGGCGAATAACGCCTCGAGTAGGACAGATGTGGTGGCAGGAGTCGAGAGAAATAGGTGAACAAAGGGTGGAGCAGACAGATTCTACGGAGCAAGAGAGAGACTTTGATAATCCTAGGAAAGAGGACTTCATAATAATAAAAAAGACTCTGATCAACATTCCCTGCACAAGGATGAAAGGGGGGGTGGGAACGATAGTCGGAATGTGAAGGTTTCATGTCGCTCCAAGGAGCACACTACACTATATCTAAATAAAAACGGTAAAAATTGTAATAGTGAAGGCCTGATAGGATGACACCGAAAACGCGATAACCCAGGGCAGAATGAAAGATATCACAATTGTTTAGCACACGTTTGGTCAAAGGATCGGCTTCACTTGTCTCTTTAACAAGCTGTTGTATGGTGCTAAGAATTGCGATATTCACTGTCGATGCCGGCGAAACGTTTGGGAATGCGACACGTCCACGGTTCAATTTTGGAAATGGTCATGCAGACAATGGACTCCGGACTAGGTGCGTTCTTCTAAGTCTTCCTACCAATATGACCATTTTGCGAAAACAAGGTCAGACAACTTCTATCTAACTGTTTTATTCTTCTGTCAAGGCCTTGTACACAAAATCAACAACTTTTAGCCCACTTATCAAATGTTCCTATGACTAACAAAACGCATGATATAAACAAAGGGATTGAGTCTCAGGAAAGCGGTAGCATAAGTCTCACTTTATGAACCAGCCATTTGTTTTCGGATTGATCCTTTTTTAAATTTACCTTTGCTCCCTCATGAGCACTCACATTTCCCGTCCTGTTGTGCTTCCTGTTTCTGGCTTAGCACCAACTCTGGCATTGTCTGTAGTGCCTGCATTTGTAATCAGGCAAAAGCGAGTTCTGCGTTTTGCCGAATCGCAGTCAAGCCTAAATCTGCTCTGGATCGGCTTGCCTTCAAAACCTAACTCCGCAAAAAAACTGAATAAAGTAATTGTTTTTTACTTTATTTTATTGTTTATATAAGTATTAATGTATTTTCAATGCATCCTAAGTGTTGATACCTGTTGAGTTGGCTTTATAATTAACAGTAACTCTTGAATTAAAACTTTGGTTAACTTAGATCGCATAGGGTGACGAAGAACAAATGGTTGAATTCTTCCGCAAAGAAACAAGCAGACCACACGAGACCAAGGAAGAGTGTATTGTTTTGCCCCCCAAAATTCGACCTATCAGGACTAGACAGAACGTTCGATATCGCCAAGTTCTTGTCAGAACCCTCAATGAGATCCAAAGCCAGGCAGTGCACATCATAGTTATCCGTTACGCCTCAGTCAAGTTGGGCATCCTAATCACATTAATAGTAGGGTTGTCGATGAGGCAAATCTATAGTAGCCATTTCATTCGATAAAGTTCCTTATATTCATAATCCATTCTCCTAACTAAGAACAAGGATCCTGGAGATAATTTAAAGATTGATATTTGAGTTTTACCCAGTAGGTTTCTCAATACCATTAAACTTTACTAAGCCTTACTTCCTAAAAGATTTTCTCCTCCAAGCTACGGTTTAATTTTGCGAAGTAATAGCATGTAGCCTCAACACAGAAGATTTCCTTTCGAATTCAGCGTCTAGACGAGATCGAAATAGTAGTCCCGGCAATACAAGAAAGGTTTTGGGAGACAAGGCTGAATGAAATATTTCGGTGTTGTAGAGACTTTCATTTTACATAAATGTGAAAGATGAAGCCGCTCG